GGTCTTCATGGTTGAGGATTTGAGGGAGACTCCCAAACCTGAGCCATTCTTTTTAGGTGAAAAATCTGAGGAACTGTCCCAGATTGAGGTGTTATTAGAGGAGGTTTTGGAACAAATTGAAAAACTAAACAGTAATAAGTCACTAGGACTAGATGATATTCACCAAGAGTTCTGAAGGAACTCAAATGTGAAATTGCAGGACTATGAACTGTAGTCTGTAACCAACCATTTAAATCTGCTTCTGTACCAAACGACTGGAGGATAGCTAATGTGATGCCAATTTTTAAAAAGGGCACCAGAGGTGACCCCGCCAATTACAGGTTTGTAAGCCTGACTTCAGTACCGGGCAAACTGGTTGAAACTATAGTAAGGAACAATTGTCAGACACATAGATGAACGTAATTTGTTTGGGAATAGTCAACATGGTTTTAGTAAAGGGAAATCTTGCCTCTCAAATCTATTAGAATTCTTTGAGGGGGTCAACAAGCATGTGGACAAGGGGGATCCAGTGGATATAGTGTAACTTAGCTTTTAAGAAAGCCTTTGACAAGGTCCCTCATCAAAGGCTCTTAAGCAAAGTAAGCTGTCATGGGATAAGAGGGAAGGTCCTCTCATGATTGGGAACTGGTTAAAAGATGGGAAACAAAGGGTAGGAGTAAATGGTCAGCTCTCAGAATGGAGAGAGGTAAATAGTGGTGTCCCCCACGGATCTGTATTGGGTCCAGTCCTAGCCAATATATTCATAAATGATCTGGAAAAAGAGGTAAATAGTGGGGTGGCAAAATTTGCAGATACAAAAGTACTCAAGATGGTTAAATCCCAGGCAGACTGCAAAGAGCTACAAAAGGATCTCAAAACTGGGTGACTTGGCAACAAAAAAATTAGCTGTTACCACTCAAGAAAGAAATCTTGGAGTCATTACAGATAGTTCTCTGAAAACGTCCACTCCAGTCAAAAAAAGCAAACAGAATGTTGAATTATTAAGAAAGGGATAGATATTAAGACAGGAAATATCTCATTGCCTCTATATCAATCCTTGGTACACCCATATCTTGAATACTGTGTACAGATGTGGTAGCCTCATCTCAAAAAATATATTTTGGAATTGGAAAAGGTTCAGAAAAGGGCAACAAAAATGATCAGAGGTATGGAGCATCTGCCATATGAGGAGAGATTAATAAGACTAGGACTTTTCAGCTTGGTGGGGGGAGGGGAGATGACTAAGGGGGGATATGATAGAGGTCTATAAAATCATGATTGGTGTGGAGAAAGTAAATAAGTGTTATTTACTCCTTCTCATAACATAAGAACTAGGGGTCACCAAATGAAATTAATAGGCAGCAGGTTTAAAAGAAACAAAAGGAAATATTTTTTCACACAACGTACAGTCAACCTGTGGAACTCTTTGCCAGATGATGTTGTAAAGGCCAAGACTATAACAGGGTTAAAAAAAGAACTAGATAAATTCATGGAGGATAGGTCCATCAATGGCTATTAGCCAGGATGCGCAGGGATGGTGTCCCTAGCCTTTGTTTACCAGAAACTGGAAATGTGTAACAAGGGATGCATCACTTGATGATTACCTGTTCTGTTCATTCCCTCTGGGGCACCTGGCATTGGCCACTGTCCGAAGACAGGATACTGGGCTAGATGGACCTTTGGTCTGACCCAGTATGGCTGTTCTTATGTTCTTATCTTACTTCATGCTGCTCTGGGTAAATAAGCTGATCCTTAAGGGAATTAGGAAACAATGGAACAAAGTTGATTTAGCAGAAGAATTTTAGCCTTGCTAGAATTGAATTATCCTAATAATGAATGCATAGGGCCAACACTTCTTCACACCAAAGTCAAATATTGTGTTGCTATTGACTTTAATAGGAATTGGATTTGGCTCCTAGTATGCAATAATTCCATACCAAACACACAAATATTTTAAGTTACAATGTCAAACATTCAGATGTTAGAAAATGCCAAAATTAAAGTTGCCTCTGCAAAAAGAGTTTGTGAGTAAATAATTAGACTGTATCATAATGCACAAGGGGGCAGAACTGAAGTTGTTTGGGCAACTTCTTAACTTGAAGTTGTTTGGGCAACTTCTTAATTCTAGCATTTCTTAACTTGATTTTGCATCCTTAAATACAAACGAAAAAAAATGCAGATTTTTAAAATTCCTTATGAGATTTTAAAAAAGAAAAGAAAAATCAGTTGGGTAACAATTTCCTGCATGGTTTGATTTACCTCTTCACCTAAATGAGTAGTAACTCAATCAACTGATAGAAATAGGATGTTATGCCCCATGTACATCAGTCATTTGACGGCAAAATGACACACATTTTGCCAGTTGGTCACACAGTTATTCGCTAGACACCAGCACAATGCTGAGAATCTGGATTCCTGGATTCTATTCCTGGTTCATAGAGAAGAGTGATACAGTGATTAGAGAACAGAGTGAGAGTTAGGGGTCCTGAATGCTTTTTGTTAATGAAGCTTTCATTTATTTAGCCCTTATCATTTGTGTCTTTCGAAGGAAGTATGTAGGAGTAACCCCATTTTAAAGATACCATAGCTAGTTGCATATATTTGTCATATTCATTTCAATAGGCAATATGCTTAAAGGAATAACATATGAGTCTGCCATATTAGAAACTTGGGTTGTATTTCCAATTTTCCCAGTGAAAGATCTTCTGCAAGCTCTCTGATCCTCAGTTACTTTCTCTGTAAAATGGGGAACATGATGCTTGCCTTATTCCTAAGGTAGGGGCATGAGCCAAGGGTTGTGATTAATGCTAGTAACCTGGGGTCTTGGATCCAAGTCCAGTGCCTCCTCTTCTAGGCTGAAGAGTATTTTCTTGGGATAAAAGTGTTGGAGAAATAGCAATAAGTGGAGGAGGAGGTAATATTTGGTTGAATTGTTCTCCTGGCTAAAGCTCTAGCTTTGTGTGTTGTAGGTATTCACTAAGGGAGGCTCTATGGGGTCTGAGAACAAGGTGCAGTGCAGTTGGAACATTCACAAAATGAAGGGACAAGTGTGGAACAAGTTCTACTGCACATGTGGAAATGAGATTTTTCTCTGGCATATAATCCTGACAGATGTGTGGTCTTTCTTGGGGACAGACTGAATCTCTCGAGTCTCAGCATTGCCCCCTTGTACATTTCAAATTTCTGTTTCAAACCACATAAGCTGTAAAGAGGTTTGCAAATATTGCACTAATCACATTCTTGGTACTAGCCAAACATTTTTTTTGATCAAACCTAATAAAATTTAAGTAAAATTGAACTTGAGACAGAGACTACACATGGAAAATGTCAGCCCAAAAGTTAAAATTTATAAAGTTACAAGCAACTGAAAACACAGCATTAAAATGAAAAGTGATCGGCAACCTTAACTATAGGCATCAATCCAGCTCCAACTGTTAAACATAGCACATATGTTGACTTTTTATTGAATATAAGAGAATATCAAGATTTATTGATCTTGGTCAATATTTACCACTTGGGTCAATAAATTCTCAGTAGTCACTGAAATAGGAAGTCATTATTGTGAGAATTTCTGAAAACTCTAAACATTGGTCTGCACAGATATGAAATCAATACTGCATTTCATAGAATATCTGACATAGCTAAAAATAGTTTAAATTGCAGTTCTAATAATAATCCAAATGTACTGATTTGTTTTAACCTCTTCTATTATGTATGGCTCTTCTCAGTGTATGTTGATACCCCAAGTGATATTAAACTCTTTCCACTCCTCCCTTAATTAAAAATGTCTCCATGCATGGATTTCATTGTCCATTAGTTGGCCATAAGTCTGATGAATTAATTAATGTGAGAAAAGGCAATAAAAACAGAGCTCTATAGGCACACATACACCACATTATCTGTCTGGTTCAATCATGTACAACAGAGATAAGCCAAAGTTTTTAAAATACATCTCTCCAATCATTCTTGGTTGAGTCCACAGACAGAATTCTGTATTTAGTTATACTATTGTGACTCTTAACACTATTGTGACACTGAAACTAAGTGAATTTTTGCATAGGAGCAGAATTTGTCTCCAAGTTATCATATATTATAGTGGTGAAATAATAACCCATATGTCTCATAGTACAATGATGTTTAAAGTTCAACACACTGGTATACATTTTGCATTGAAATGATATATTTTCAACTATTAAATACCTCTTCTTTTTTTCCTGCTTGTTTTCTTTAGTCCAGTCTAACCTCAGAAATGTTGTACATGAAAGAAAAGCAAAATACCCCACCAATATTCTTGGAAATTTTACTTCTGGCTAATAGCAGGTTTACAAAGGAAAGCTCAGTTAGAATATATTTATGGTATGCTGTATTAATGTTTGAAAAATCTTGTTTTTCGGGCAAGCATCATTTTACATGTGAGATCTAATAAAAACACAGCAATAACTTTCTGCAGCCTGAAAGGCATTTTGATTGTCAGATATAGGATTATAAAGTGAAATAGGATCAGATATGTGCATGTACAGCATAGAAGGCTAAAAATTTCTTATTGCTGCAGTAGGATGCTGAATTGTGGAACAGATAACACTTCTAAGTGTTTCTTCAAGACAGCAGGAAGCTTTTTCTCTCATTTCTGTAGAGTCACAGAAATTGTGAACATATTAAAAGAAAATCTCCTGGATGACTATGGAGTAGATGTTTTCATAAACTGTCAGGAGAGAATGCCTTTCAGGACAAGAGACTGATAATCAGCAGGAGAATTCTAACATGCAAGGTATACAGAACAAGTGTAGTCAATGACTCCATCAGGTGAATCAGAGTAAATAAAGTCAAGTTTCCAACAATTACAAGATTCCGAGTAAGTTTTGAGAAAAGAGTACAGAAGCAGAGCCCGGCTACTGAAGGGTTTTTTAGTTGCTTCTGGTTTTGCCTTTGTAGATCTTTCAGATGTATACTAGAGGCACTCAGTTAAACATTTTGGCATTTGATTGGTACAGATAATGAAGAAAAAAATATCACAAACATACCTGAGACCTCCGGGCCCTCCTAGTCTTAAAGCAATGAGTAGTATAAAATCAGATTAAACATCTGATGAAGAAAAGGAAGGAATTCTCTTTTAACTTCTCAGCCTCCTCCTCAGAAAATTTTAGAAGTTACAGCTTCCTGCCAGTAAGACACTTGTGCTTTTAGTTTTGAAAACTCACAGTATGTCACTGCTTACTGCGTGCTATTTTCAGTGCCGGAAGTAAAAGTATGAACACAGGCACTTTTGTGCTAAACATCATAAGGCCCCTCTGAAGTTCACTGAGAGTCCAGAATTAAAATGCAGAAGGATCCAGCAAGCAAAATACAAGCTTATTATTTTCTATTTTCTAGTGGAAAATAAAGTACTTCTTGGCATGTAACCGAAGTGGTAAGAAAGTAATTCATCTTGTGTGAGAGTATTTTGCAAATGAAAGGGACATGCCGTCTGTTTAGGGAGTAATCAGGGAAGCAAATGATAAATTTAGAGCAGTCACAAAAATTATATAAAAGAGGAGAGGGTTTCAGCAGTCTGTTTTTTTGCTCTCCAGCAATGACTTTTCCGAATCTTTTCCTTGTTTCTGAACAGAAATGATACTGTGAGAGAACCATATCCATAGTATAGCTTTGTCTTGCCTCTTGTTTTCTGACACTTTATGAAATGTCTCATTTTATCTTCCTTGTAACTGACTAATAAAGCTAATTTTGATGCTTAGTTTTCACAAAAACCCCAAAACAAACCCTAGTCTACCATAATAGAGAATATAAAATGATTATAATTTGGGCTGTCAAATTATTTTAAAAGATAATTGCACTTAATTGTGAGATTAAAAATATAGTAGTGATTAAATCAGTTTTAATTGTACTATGCCAATTTCAATTTATTATGCATGTTTTTGGATGTATTCTACATTTTTCAAATATACTGATGTCATGGTAGGGGACTACTGTACAGCACCTAACTAGGAAAACACGAGGCTTTTTTTAAATCAACTAACAAAATCATCCAAAGCACGGGACTTGGTGTTGGTGGGGTATTCCAACTACACAGACAGCCGGTATGGCAGGGTAGATTATCCAAACAAGTTCTTGGAATGCATTGGAGATCACTTTCCCCATCATTTGTAATACAAAGAAAAAAAAAGTTACTGTGGGAGAGGCTCTTCCTCCTATTTGTCAGAATCAAATCTAGAACTAGTTGAGAATTTGAGGGTGGAAGGCAGCTTGCGTGAAAGTGATCATGAAATGATAGTGTTAATGATGCTGAGGTATGGTAAGAGGGAAAACAGCAGAATACAGACAATGGACTTCATGGATGCAGACTTTAGAAAACTCAGAGAATTGGTAAGTTCCTATGTGAATCAAGTCTAAAGAAAAAGGTTCAGGAGTTTTTATAAAGAGACATATTATTGAGGGAATAAGAGCAAACTATCTCAATGTGTAAGAAAGTTTGGTTATATGGTAAGAGACCACTCTGGCTTCACCAGGAGATCTTAGGCACCTGAAACACAAAAAAAAGTTATACAAAAAAATGAAAACTAGGTCAAATTATGAAGGATGAATATAAAGAAACCCACCACCACAAGCATGTAGGGACAAAATTAGAAAGGCCAAGGCACAAAATGAGATTAAATTAGCTAGGGACATAAAAGGTAACAAGAAAACATTTTACAAATACATTAGAAGCAAGAAGAAGCCTAAGGGCTGGGTAGGCCATTAATATGAGGAGAGAAAGACGATAACAGAAAACATAGCAATAGCCAAAGTGTTAAATGCCTTTTTTTGTTTTGTTTGTTTTTTCACCAAAAACTTTAGCAGTGATCATATGATAGTGCAGTGAACATCAGTTTAAAAGGGGTAGAATCTGAAGCTGAAATAGGGAAGGAACAAGTTAAAAATTACTTAGAGACGTTAGATATGTTCAACTCGGCAGGGCCTGATAAAATACTTCCTAGAATACTTAAGGACCTGGCTGAAGAGATCTCTGAGCCATTACTGATTATCTATGAGAAATTGTGGAGGACAGGAGAGATCCCAGAGAACTGGAAAAGGGCAAATATAGTACCCTATATATAGAAAGGGGGAATAAGGACAACCCAGGGAATTATTGGTACCCATAAACATAATGGAGCAAATAATCAATCAATTTGTAATCACCTAGAAGATAAGGTAATAAGTAACAGTCAACATAGTCTTGTAAAGAATAAATCACGTCAAACCAACCTTCTTTGACAAGGGTAACAAGCCTTGTGGATGTGGGGGGAAGCAACAGATGTGGTTTTTCTCAACTTTAGAAAGGTTTTTGATACTGTCTCACTTGAACTTCTCATAAACAAACTAGGGAAATACAGCCTAGATGAACCTACAATAATGTGGATGCACAGCTGGTTGGAAAACTGTACTCAGTAGTTATCAATGACTCACAATCAAGGTGAGTCTCTAGCTCTATTCAATACCTGCATCAATGATTTGGATAATGACAGAGTACACTCATAGAGCTTGTCGATGATACTAAGTTTGGAAGGTTGCAAGGGCTTTGGAGGACAGGATTAGAATTCAAAATGATCTTAAACTTCAGAAATGGTCTGAAATAAGTAAGATGAAATTCAGTAAGGACAAGTACAAAGTACTACACATAGGAAGGACTAATCAATTGCACCAGTATAAAATAGTAAATGATGCCTGGGAAGGAGTATTGCAGAAAAGGATCTGGGGGTCGGGTAACCAGATGTCCTGATTTTTATAGGGACAGTCCCGATATTTGGGCTTCGTCTTGTATAGGTGCTTATTACCCCCCCGCACCCTATCCCATTTTTTCACATTTACTATCTGGTCATCGTATCTGGGGTTATATGGATCACAAACTAAAATAAACATGAGTCAACAATGTCATACTGTTTGCCCCCCCCCCCCCCAAAAAAAAACAAAAAAACATCATTCTAGGATGTTTTAGCAGGAATGCTATAAGCACAGATTAGGCCTCAATTGGAGTACTGTGTCCAGTTCTGGGCACCACACTTCAGGAAAGATGTGGGCAAACTGGAGAAAGTCTCAAGGAGAGCCACAAAAAATGATCAGAGGTCTAGAAAACATGACCAACAAAGGAAGGATTGAAAAAAATGGATTTGTTTAGTCTGAATAAGAAAAGACTGAGTGGGGAATATAACAGTCTTCAAGTACGTTATAAAGAGGAGGGTAATAAATTGTACTTCTTGTCCACTGGGAACAGGACAAGAAGTAATGATCTTAAACCACAGCAAGGAAGATAAAGGTTAGACATTAGGCAAAACTTCCTTATTGTTAATAATTGGAATCAATTACAGAAAGAAATTGTGAAATGTCATTCATGTTATGTTTTTAAGGGCAGGTTAGACAAACAGCTGTCAGGGATGGTCTAGATAATACTTAGTCCTGTCTCAATGCAGGAGACTGGACTATATGATCTATCAAGGTCCTTTGCTGTCCTACATGTCTATAATTTCTATGACTGTCTAATTTGACCCATGTAGTTATTTGGGCATTTGATGCACTGGATGAGGTACACCAAATGTTGTGGCAGGCATGCGTCAGATGCATAAATCTTGAAAGGTGTGTAGTAGGGGGTACTAATCATCATAGCAGTGGAGATTAGGGCTGTTAATTAATTGCAGTTAACTCACACGATTAAGTTAAAAAAAATCAATTAAAAATTAATCCCGATCAATCACATTGTTAAACAATAGAATACGAATTAAAATGTATTAAATATTTTGGATGTTTTCTACATTGTCAAATATATTGATTTCAATTACAACACAGAATACAAAGTGTACAGTGTTCACTTCATATTTATTTTTGATTACAAATATTTACACTGTAAAAAAACAAAAGAAATAGTATTTTTCAATTCACCTAATACAAGCACTGTAGTGAAATCTCTTTATCATGAAAATTGAACTTACAAATGTAGAATTATATACAAAAAATAACTAAATAAAACAACGTAAAACTTTAAAGCCTACAAGTCTACTCAATCCTACTTCAACCAATCGCTCAGTCAAACAAGTTTGGTTACAATTTGCAGGAGATAAAGCTGTCCACTTCTTGTTTACAGTCTCACCTGAAAGTGAGAACAGGCGTTCAAATGGCACTTTTGTAGCCAGCATTGTAAAGTATTTACATGTCAGAAAGGCTAAACATTTGTATGCCCCTTCATTCTTTGGCCACCATTCTAGAGGACATGCTTCCATGCTGATTATGCTGTGACTGAACTCCTAGGGGGAGAATTGTATGTCTCCTGTTCTGTTTTACTTGCATTCTGCCATATATTTCATGTCAGCAGTCTTGGATGATGACCAGAACATGTTTGTTTTAAGGACACTTTCACAGCAGATTTGGCAAAATGCAAAGAAGGTAACAATATGAGATTTCTAAAAAATAGCTACAGCACTCAACCCAAGGTTTAAGAATCTGAAGTGCCGTCCAAAATCTGAGAGGGATGAGGTATGGAGCATGATTTCAGAAGACTTAAAAGAGCAACACTCAGATATATGGAAACTACAGAACCCGAACCACCAAAAAAGAAAATCAGCCTTCTGTTGGTGGCTTCTGACTCAGATGATGAAAATGAAGCTCTGCTTTGGATCATTATGGAGCGGAACCTGTCATCAGCATGGACACGTCCTCTGGAATGGTGGTTGAAGCACGAAGGGACATATGAATCTTTAGCGCATCTGGCACGTAAATATCTTGCGGCACCGGCTAGAATAGTGCCATGTGCACGCCTGTTCTCACTTTCAGGAAACATTGTAAACAAGAAGTGGGCAGCATTATCTCCTGAAATTTTTTACCAAATTTGTTTGACTGAGTGATTGGCTGAAGTAGGACTGAGTGGACTTGCATGCTCTAAAATTTTACATTGTTTTATTTAGGTTTTTTTTTGTACATTCTACATTTGTAAGTTCAATTTTCATGATAAAGAGATTTCACTACAGTACTTGTATTAGGTGAATTGAAAAATACTATTTCTTTTGTTTTTTACAGTGCAAATACTTGTAATCAAAAATAAATATAAAGTGAGCACTGTACACTTTGTATTCTGTGTTGTAATTTTAAATCAATATATTTGGCAATGTAGAAAACATCCAAACATATTTAAATAAATGGTATTCTATTGTTTAACAGTGCG